AGACACTTTCCCTCAGCCAAGTGGCAGCTTCTTCCAGCTATGCCAATGCCCTGACAGCCAGAGAGGCTGCCCAAAGCGGGGAGGAGTCAGAGAGCTGCAGTGCTGCGCTGGGCACGGCGCCAAGCGCTCCAGACAACCTGGAGATGGGGAAGGGACCCAGGGCAGCGCAGGGCCCGCCCCGGGGAACTCCAAGAGCTGCTGCCGCCAGAGGGCAGCACAGGCACCGGCCGGCGGCTCCCCAGGGACCCCCGGCTGTTGCGGGGCGCGCGCGTCCCGGCCTCGCGCCATCAGGGACTCCAGCTCAGCGATCACCCGCCACTTGCCGTGCTAATGAAGCCCTAATTGTCTGAGGAGGGGGATAATTAGCGCCTTCATTAACCTCCGTCAGCCTGCAGCTGTGTGGGTTTCCTCCTGCCACCATACGGATGTGCTGGCAGGCATTTAAACAGCTCATGGCTATGCTTGGGACTTCCATTACACCTTCCTGTCCCACTCAGAGATGAGACCTTCTTCCCTTAAGGATCTCAATAGCAGCAGACCTGGGAGGGATGTGGGCTCTGAGTATAGCTCCTATACCATTCCCCATCCTTGCCCCATACCAGTAAGGGGTACTTGCCTCCTCACCAGAAGAAGCTGGGGGATGCCTAGTGCCAGGATCCCTCTCTCTGCTCAGGGATGAGGAAGCAGAGATGTGCTTCCATGTAGATTCAACGCCTTCTCTGCCTTGCGGTTTCCACCCAGAGGAGCTGTGTTTCTCCGTCTTTCTGTGCCATTCCCAGCACTGCCGTTCAGCAAATGGCAAGACAAAAATAGCTTCTCTCCAGGGGCTGCAACAGGGCTGCTCGACTTGGCTGTGCAATGCTCCATTCTGACATGTGAACCCAGGGCTGACCACAGTGAAGGGACTGCAAAAGCTCCTCCAGCCATCTTAGGTAGGCACTGCCCCCCACCCCAAGCCACACTAAGGGGGTGTCACAAGTTAAGCCTGGGTCAGCTGCAGTATCTGTGGGAAAAGGGGAAGGATGGAGGAGGACCAGGGCTGGGGAAGGGAGAGCTGCCTGGACTAGGATACCCAGAAGCACAAGCAGGTTTCTCCTCCCTGGATGCTGCAGACAACCTGCCAGCCAGTTCCTCGGGGGCTTTCCATTGCTCAGGCAGGAGTGCTGGGGAGGTTGTCAGCCTGCAGTGAGGGCTTGGGAGGGGGAGCAGCAGAGCTGTCAGACCTGCTCACTGAAAGATGTACCCAGACTGTGAGCTCTGTCTCCACGGGTAAAGCAGCACAGCACAGGAGCTGGCTGGCCAGTCGCTGCCAGGGAGACAGTCCTGCTCCCTGCCTGCCTTTGCCAATGCAGACAGACCACGCTCAGCAAGTGAGCTATTAAAGGACAGCTCCAGTCAGCCAGCAAACACACACTCATTCATCATCCTGGAGCAGGCAGGAGGAAGTGCCAGCTGCTTTTAGCCAGGACCTCTCACAAAGTCCATGCCCAACAGCTCAGCAGTCTGGAGGGGAACTGGGATAAGACTAGGGGGTCCAGGACCCTCCAAAATGCCTTTTTATGTCTTGGGAGCACTGGGAGAGCTGCCGTACCCCAGGCTGGGAGCTTGTGTGTTTCTGAGCCACAGCCCCAGCATGGCAGCGTCATGCAGAGAGAGCTTGGAGAGGATGTGAGGGTTCGCACAGGCTTCACCATTCTCTATGTTCCCACCTGCACTAGACAGGCAGAGTTGCATGGCTCTGTGCAGTGGGACACTCAGCTCAGGTGGGCCTCCTGCTGCTGACAGGCACCCACAGGGTGGGTTCTGCATGTGGTTCCTGCAGAACAACAGTAGCTCTTTTACAGCCTTCAGACAGTATTGCCTGGCTTTACCCCTGCGTCTCACAGCTGCTGCTGCTGATCTCTCCACCTGTATCCATCCCCAGAGCCCAACCAGCTGTGCTGGGTACCAGAGTGCTCCAACACCCCATCTGGAACAATCCTGATTCAAGACACGGATACCCCTTCACACAGCCCAAATTGAGGGCCTGGACAAGAAACCATCCCTTTGTTGGTGCTAGCATGTAGCTGAGGTATGTGTTATCCTGACTGGAGTAACCCTTAGTAGCAAAGGATCTGTGTATGCTAAGAGTGTCCCAGCAAAGCCTTGCCACCAGCAGCTGAAGATTTGGCCATGGGCAGGAGCCTGAGAGCAGCTTTGAAACTGGCAGTGCCTGGAGCCCTACTCTGTTCTTCCCTCACATCCAAAGACATGTCATTCCAGCTGCCTGGGGTGGGAGGCCCTATTCCCTGGGGAAGGGAAATGCTGCCCTCCCTCCTGCTTTGTGCCTTCCCTTAACAACTATTTGCAACCAAGACCTAAAGGAAGAGCCAAGCAGCGATGGCTCCAGGGACATAGTTTGTGCTACATCATTGCCAGCTTCAGGGCTGAAGCCTTAAGTGCAAAACTCAGGAGCAGGGAAAAGATCCTCCTCTTTCACGTGGAAGAGCAGCTGCCTCCAAAGTAAGCTGCAAAGCTTCTTCTTTACCTGCATAAGAAACATCCTGCTGTTATCACAGGGCTTAGGTAATTCCCTAGTGCTTGCAGGAAGCCCTTGCTGCTGGCTTGGGCAGGGACTATGGGCTCACTGGCCTCCTCTACCCCGGAGCTGCTCCCACAGTGGGGGAACAGGCTGCTGGCAAGAAAGGAAAAACTGGCCCTGGAGCTATTTCTGCTTCCCACAGCCAAGGCCTCAAGCTGCATCACTGAACAGTCCCAAGCAGGATTTTTAAACAGGCTTCAGCCAAATCTGCCTCCTGGGAATGACAGGAGATGTGCACACACAAACACACACACATACTGAGATGCTCGGCGTGGTAACAAGAACCCCAGGTTGGGGAGGCAGGGGAGCTCTCTGGCTCTGTCCTCTGTGTAGAAAGCTTCAAAGCCCAGCTCAGCACTGCTGAATATGAATAGCCCTTAATGTGTTCAGAGAAGCCAATTTGGGAGAGCTCACACAGGCTGGGGGCGGCCTCCTGTGTTTCAGATGAAGCAATTTTACTCCAGCACGAGCGAGCAGTATGCAGGAAGGGCTCTGCTTCCTCACCTGCAAAATTCAGCTGTGGATTTCTGATGAGACCATGTTTGCGTGGGAGAAAATCAGTCAATCCTCAAACACGCGAAGAGAGCAAAGACCACAAGCTCCTTCCCATCCCCTCCCTAGGGTTCCTCCATTTTCTCAGTAGGCTGAAACCAGCTCCGTGTATCTAAAGGCACTGACTTAACCTTCATCAGGGGCCTTGTCCTCATTTTCCTCCTCTGTTTTTTGTACCCCTTTACCAAACCCTCCTGGTTACTTCAGCCCAGCCTAAGCTTGACTTGGTTGGGTGGTGCTGGCCCAGATTTGCTTTGATTCTGGCCACTCCCAAAGCAAACCTGTGTGTCTGGGGGTCTGTGTGCACACATGCATGTTCTCTGCAGATCCAGCTGAGGCCTCCTGCAAGGTAACAGCAGGACAGGGCTGGCCGCAGCACAGGACACGTGGCAATGTGACTGCCCCTCTTCCCTGCCATGGAACAGAGGCCACAGCCTCTGCTCTGCCCCCAGATGTGGCACATCAGCCCTAGGCATCGGGAAGCCCAGCTGGAGGTCTGAAACCCAGCTCTGAGCCTGCACTTTCATTGCGAAACCTCCTGCATCAGCAATGTAGGAGGAAGTGTGTGTGGGGGGGGGGGCTGGCTTAGCTCCTCCTGGTTGATAATTCATTACTGCCTGTTAGCCTGGATCCATCCAGCAGCAGCTACATCCTGGCACTGACATGCTCATCTCACACATAAAATGCTGCATCAAAATGCATCATATGGACATTCTCCATGAAACCCTCCCCAGCTGCTTCTTCCGGTGCTTTACATGCAGGAGCAGTCCTGGGAATTGGAGTGTTTTGTTCTAATGGATGCCTGGCACCTGCTATAGCAATCAGAGCTACAGGATCCATCCTCCAGCTCATGAGAAACACAGTCGGATCTTCCTGCAAGGGGCAGGGCAGCAGCAAGTAGAGGGTGCAGGTTTCATCCATAGCATGTTTGGATCTGGAGAGGAAGAAGCAGGCTGTGTGCCCGTGGGTGGTTTATTGCATACCATTTTGCAACGATGCAGAAGTGCAGCATCTCTTCTCTCCTCTCCTGAGAGCTCTAGGAGCCCTGGGCAGCAGGGCTGGCTGGTCTTGCCTTGGGGACCTGGAGGAGGTTCCTTTCCCTTTCTCCAAAGTCCCTGACTTTGGCCTGATGCTGGTGACCATCAGTGTGGTGGTAAATCTCCTCTCCAGGGCTGAATGAGCAGGGTAGGCTAGGGGACCCAAAGCTTGCACAGTAGGACTGGGTGTGCTCCCCCCAGGTTGGGTGCCTCCTGACTCCCTATAGATCTGTATCCAGGGTTGGGCTTGTTCTCATGAGACCTGGGACTCTGCCACCAAAACTAGGTCCTTCATGGTAGCTGTTGAGTCACAGTCAGCCTTCCCCAGCCCCAAGCCTTCTCCAGCTGGCCCCCAGCATACATTCACAGTCTTCTTCACCCCTCCTCATCCTCCCCTCTAGCATTCTGCAGGGCTCTTCTTCCCCACTGTGTCACCCTAGCACCATTTGGAGGAGGAGATCTGCTGGTGTGGGCAGGTTCATCCCTCACCTCGCAGGTAAGAATACAGAGCAGGACCTGGGTGAGAGAGGCCAATTTCAGAAGACTCTCTTCCTTTCCCCCAGACCCTTCCTGTGCCCTCTGGGACAACCCCCCCCTCCCCCCCCGCAGGGCCTTGCCCACTCCCCATGTCCTTAACACAGAGGGCTGAAGGAGCTGTGACACCACCGCAGGTACCAGCTACAGCATCCCGTTGGGAGCACCAGCCTCCCTCCCACCGGTGAAGGTCACGCCGGGGCTGCGGCCGCCCAGCAGAACCTCGCCGGGCTGCCACCGGCGAAGGGGCGGGTCGCACAGGGAGCTTGTGCGGCTGCGATTGGCTGTCGGCGGGGAGGCGGGGAGCGGCGGGGCCGCGCCTGGCTGCAGAGGCGGGCGCGGAGCCCAGAGCGGGCGCGGCGGAGCATCTTTGGGCACTGCTGCCCCGGTGCGGGCCGCCTTTCCCGCAGCCCCCGGCCTCCTATGGGCGGTGCCGGCGCCCCGGCCCCCGCACGCCCGTCCCGCTCGGCGTTAGCATGGGCACGGTGCTCTCCCTCTCCCCCGCCGCCTCTTCGGGCAAGGGCGGCGGCGGCGGGGGGCTTCTGGCCGACAAGGCACCGGGCAGGGTGCCGGGCAAAGGCGAGAGCCGGCTGAAGAGGCCCAGTGTGCTCATCTCGGCGCTCACCTGGAAGCGGCTGGTGGCTGCCTCGGCCAAGAAGAAGAAGAGCACCAAGAAGGTGACGCCGAAGCCCGGCGGCGGGGCCCCACCAGGGGCCCCGGGCCAGCCCGACCCGCTGGTGGTGCAGCGCAACCGCGAGAACTTGCGCAAGTCGGTGGTGGGGCCGGCGGAAGGCGGCAAGCAAGGCCCCCTGGCCGTGCCGGTGCCCACCGTGCCCTCGGCGCCGCAGGAGCTACACCCGGGCTCCGGCGGGGGGAAGCCGCCGCCGCCGCCACCGGCCGGCAGCCGAGCCCCAGGGTCCCCGCGCCGCGTGGTGGTGCAGGCGTCCACCGGCGAGCTGCTGCGCTGCTTGGGGGACTTCGTGTGCCGCCGCTGCTACCGCCTGAAGGAGCTGAGCCCCGGCGAGCTCATCTCCTGGTTCCGCAGCGTGGACCGCTCGCTGCTGCTGCAGGGCTGGCAGGACCAGGGCTTCATCACCCCAGCCAACCTGGTGTTTGTCTACCTGCTGTGCCGGGAAGCGCTGAGGGGCGAAGACATCGGAACCCAGGCTGAGCTGCAGGCCGCCTTCCTCACCTGCCTCTATCTCGCCTACTCCTACATGGGCAACGAGATCTCCTACCCGCTCAAGCCCTTCCTGGTGGAGGGCGACAAGGGGCGCTTCTGGGAGCGCTGCCTGGGCATCATCCAGCGACTCAGCTCCAAGATGCTGCGAATCAACGCAGACCCGCACTACTTCACGCAACTGTTCCAGGACCTCAAGAGCGAGGGCGAGGGTGGAGACGGGTCCAAGCACTGGACGATCAGCCTGGATCGCTAGGGAGGTACCAGGCCTCCGGCGCCGGGGGAAGGGGCAGCGAACGGAGGGGCAGGGGAGGCGAAAGACTGCCGTATTCCCCCACCCCTTTTCCCCCTCCCCGCATCCTCCTTGCCTTCCCCCCCCTCCCCGGCCTCCAGCTCCATAGAGACGCTGCTTGGACCCTCCCTGCTCCGGATCCGGCCGTGCGCCCCCCTCTTCTCATCCCTTCCGACCCCAGCTGGGGTCAGCGCTCCGGGATTCCGGGACGGCGGAGAAGACCCCGGGGGCGGTGTGGTGGTGGTCATATGGGGGTGTCCGTCCCGCTTGTGCGATGGGGAGGAGGGAGGGAAGCTGCCGAGGAACGGAGGTTCCTGGATGCGTTTTCTCTAGGGGAAAAAAAAAAGGGGGGAAAATGGAGCTGGGGTCGCGGGGCAGGAGGGTTCGGGGGGGTGGGGGGTGTCTCTTGGGTCCTGGGGGGCCCCGGGCAAACCATGCATGTGAACGACGCCCCTCGGCCCGCCGCTGGCAGAGCCGGCCCCGCGGGAGCCGCGGCCCCGGAGCTGTCCGTGGTGCTGGAGCAGCCGTGCCTGAGCAGACAAAGGCGTGGCGGGGGGGCGGGCAAGGCCGGGGGGGCCGCGGGTTTTCGTGTCGTGGGCGCTGCCACCCCCCACCCCCCACGTAGGGGTTACGGGCCCTCCCCGGGCATGGGTGATGCTGCCCCTCAGCCCGCGGAGCCGCCCCCTTGCCCCTTTGTTCGAGCTGCTGTGGGGGGTAATCCCCGCGGCAATCCTCCGCCTTCTGCGGTGCGCCCCACGAAACAGAATCCCGGTGGGGTGATTTCGGCTCCCCCCACCTTCCCCTCCCCCCCTTTGCCTTGCTATGGGGAAAGGGGTCTGTGCCAGAGGAGGCCTAGTGAGCCCAGAGGGAGGGGCCTGCTATGGTGGGGAGGGGGGGTCCCCTCTTCTCTTGCTTTGCTTCACTGAAGAATAAAGAGGTGGTCTGGACGGGCCTGGTGGTGGTTCCCTGGACTTGCTGGGCTGTGGTGTGCAAGGGGAATTGGGGGGGGGTTATGCCAAGATCCCAGTCAAGCCCCCTCTCCTCCCCAGGAGGAACTGGGGGGGGATGCTGGTTCTCAGAGGGGGCTTTACTCCCTGGTATGAGTTGGAGGTCGGAATTTCATCCTTGTTTGCTGTGCCCAAGGCTAGTCCTGGTCCATCTGAGGGCCTTCTGTCTCCCTGTGAGCTCTCCTGGCCGCCTCCATTCCAAATGGAAATGCCTCATGCCTGTCTGCTGCACTGAATTTAATCAGGATTCCAAATCGCACGTCACCTTCATTTTTATTTCTTTGTTTTTTTCTAAAGCTGCTCCCATCACTTCCTGCCTCCCTGTCTCTGCTCTGCAGTGCTGGGCTCCCTTCCCTGGCAGCAGCAGTCTGTGGGAGCTGTGTTGCTAGCCCAGTTACCAGCCTTGTGCTTCTGAAGACCCCCAGGGAGAGGGGTGGGGAGAGGGAAGGCTTTGCCTTTCTCATAGCTGGTTGCTATGCTTCAAGCTACTGAATTTGCCAGGGCTTCCTTAGCAGGATCCACAGCACATGCTCCCTGGTTGGGGTCTAAATCCAGTGCTTCGCAGCCCCTCTGAGCCAGGCTCTCTGGCTCCCCTCAGTCAGGAAGAGCTGTGCTGGCTCTGCAGGTCATGGAGGGTAAGCTGGATTCTCTCTACCTTTGTGTGCATCAGCAGAGCTGCTAATTAGGCCCAATCTGGCTCATTCAGGCAAAGCTGTGCTGCCAGGAAGATAGCACAGATGTCCCTGTGGCGGGGGCTGACCTGGCAGGGTGCTGTGCAAGGCTTTTCTGTGGCTGGGTAAACCCACCAGGACCTGTGCTGCTCTGCTTTCTCCTGTCCCTAATAGGGACTCTTGCCCCTGCCTTCAGATTGACATTCATGTGACCTTGTGGTGAGCTGCCTGGGCCAAAATATACTCCGACTCACCCCAAATTTGGCCATATCCACATCTTGTGCCAGGGAAGGTTGTTGCTCTTACTCTGTTTAAACAGGGGTGGAATTGGACCCTTAGAGCTGCTATGGGGCTGCTGGGGGAGCCTGACAATCCCCATTGTCGTTTTGCAGAGAGAGAAACTGAGGCACAGTGAGATGAAGCAGCATGCCACAATCCAGCAAGAGGGGTCTGAAGCACTGCAGGGTTAACACCCCAGCCATCCATGCTGGCTCTCTCCACCCTGAGCAGGGGGTGTTTGTCCAGTGGCCCCTGACCCCCAGTCATGGGGCTTTATAGAGTCTCATCTCCCGAGCTAAGCAACCTGTCAGCACTCACTGGTGGAGGTTTCTGACCCTACAGATCCCCTTAAAGACAACCTCAGACCTTCCATCCTCAAGCCACAGCCTTTTAAAATGCTTCCAGCTGCAGCAAGGCCATGTCCTTCCCCTCCTTCCTTGTGTTTCATTGATTAAGAGTGCTAGGCCTCATTGGGGGATTTAGAAAGAGCTAATTGCAGACTGGTAATTGAAGACAGCTTGGAGTCTCTGGAAATGTCAAGGAATGAGAGACAAGCTTAGATGCTCCTGTGCATTTAAATATGCATCGTCGGCTCAGGCAGAGCTTTACTGAGGGGAGAGATGTCTGGTTTTCCCTACCCCAGAGGACCTTATACAGCTGCTGAGAGGAGCAGGGCAAGGGGAGCACCCTTGTCTGGGAGCATTCTACTCACTCCAAGGCAAAGGGAAAGTGGGGGGCAACACACACAAGCTGGGGGGGGGGGTACTTAAGGTGAGAATTGTCAAACAGGCTTGGGAGCTTGGCCTTTTCCCCTCTGAGAAGCTGTGTGTTTTAATCTGTCAGACCCCTGCATGATGCCATGGGGGTCTGGGCTCAGGAGCCACCTGGGGTGTAGCAGTGGGGGGCTGAGACCCTTTTAGGACAGGCTGGAAATCCCCCCTTGCTGCCAGCTACAGGGCCCAGCGGTGTCTGGGGTTGCAGGGATGGGGGATTCACATCAGATTTGGGGCTCAGAGGTAGAGAGAGTAGCAGGGGCACGTCAGGGATCTATCACCATAGGGTCTTGGTGAGGAATCCCAGCTCTTTCCTAGTTTGAAATTCCTCCAGCAGCAATACTTCTCCTCCCTATGTCTCACAGTGGATGCCCCAGCTGCTCCAGTCCATGTTGCACCGAGGGAGGTAGGCAAAAGCCACGTGGTGCAGCCTGCAGTGGGCTCAGCCCCTCCCGCTCCACGAGGTCTCTTCTCAAGTTGTTGCATTCTTCTGCTCCCCAAGCCTGTATGGGGCTGCTGGAGACACCCTGGGTGGCAGTGGGTGCCCAGGGTGCATAGTCAGCCATGGAAGTGGGGGTTTCTGCCGGGAATGTGGGACTCCATTGCCCTGCTGCTGTGTCTGCAGAGCAAGCTCCATGCACTGGATGTGCTGGCCATGGCACTGAGGCATGGAGGAGGCATGGGTGGCTGGAGCGACCAGCCTGGCAATCAGTGCCTCCTCCTGCTGGACAAACAACGGTGAGGCTCTGCTCTTGCTATTAAGAGTTGGCAGCATCCCCCAGAGCGACTTGGAGCTGCTCCGTGGGGAGGAAACTGCTCCGGATGATGCAGACCCGGTGCCCACGTGGTTGGTGAAGAACCTGCCTCAGCTCAGCTTTCTGCGTAATCCCTTCCCCTCCGTTTGGCTGTGAGGATGATGGATAACATGTTCCTCGAGGCAGATGGAAGTGGGAGGTCTGTCTTCTGCTTCTGTGGGAGTTACTTGGACACTGGTTCCATTTCAGCTTCAGGATGCTGCTGCTCTGCTAAATTGGGAATGATTTGTGGGTACAGGTTTCTGGTCCCCTCCCTGCTTCACGGCACTTTGGTCACAGCTGCTGATGGGATGTCTAGGGGAGAAGACATGGACAAAATGACCCAGGGAGATGGCAGCAAATGGCAGAGAGAGCATGAGGGGTCACAGGTTAAACTGGTTGATGAGGTATTTGTAGCCAGGCAGGGGCAGGACAGCTACCACAGGGGCTCAGCTGATGAGGAATGCATCCAGGCTGGGGTGGGACCTGCAAGAGGCTTTGAGCTCTGCCTGTGCCCAGGGTTAGCCTAATGGCAGAGACCAAGGGAGGTGGGACAGCAGAGAGTTTGGTCCCTGCTGTAGCCAAAAACATGGGCTGTGGCATTGCCTGGCTGTTGGGTATTTCACTGAGGAACACAGACAGTGGACAGCTCTGCACCGAGAAGCTGGGGCAGGTGGAGAAGCGGAACCCAAGCCCCTGTGATGGTTAATCCATCTGCCACAGAACCCAGCAGAGCGGAGGGCCAGGACTGCCTACGCTATCGTATTACCTCAAGCCCGCTGAGAGCTGAGCATGGTTACCCTGTGCTGTGTCTCCTGCCTGTCTCATGGTCCTGTGCCACCCCTGAGGACCGAGCTCCTTGGGGTCAGCGGGGCAGCACCAAGCTGTGGCCTAGGGCAGTTGTGGGGAGCCTGCCCCAGGGAGTGAGTGCTCCCAGGGCTGGACTGGATGCTGCTACCTCATCAGAAGTCCTGCATTAGAGTGTAATCTGGCATTAGCACATTAATCCAGTCCTCCCCACTGCCCAGCCCTTGCCCTCAGCAGTCCGGCCCAAGGTCTCAGGGTACAGCTGAGCAGGCGCAGAACCAGGACATTGTCTCTGTGGCAGCCTTGCCTGGGCGCCAGGGAGCAGGTGGCAGCAGGGACAAGGTTTAGGGCTCCATCCAGAGCAGCCCTGTGTCTGGGGAGAGCAGCAAAGAGGAAAGAAACCCAACATGGACAAAGTTTCCCCCAGGTAAATCCATGACCTGGGGGGTTGACGGTGACAGTATGGCCCCAACTTCAAGCACCTTGGCAAGGGAGAATGCAGCATCTCTTGGAAGCATCACAGTGGCCCTTTGGAGGGGCTCCACGGGGGGGTTTGGAGCCTGACCGCCAGCACCTGCAGGCTGCAGCTGGGCCACACTGTTACAAGGCGCTTTGCAGGGAGCCAGGCCAAGGGAAGGTGGCGTCTGGAGAGAGGATGTGAGTCAGCAGCTTGGAGGGGGGTGGGGGGTGGGGAGGAGAGTCAAAGAACTAGCGAGGTGGGGATGGGAAGAGGGAAAGAGGTGGGAACTGGGAGAGCTGGGGAGGGAGCAGGAGTGGGCAGGGCGGCAGCCCACATCCTCTGGGCAGACGTGACCCGGCTGTGCTGTGAAGGCTCTTCACAGTGTGAGAAATGAAGCAAGTGGTAACATGGCTCTGCTAAAATAGGAGAGGGGCTATGCCAGCCCCCTCCGATCCCTTACTGTGGGGGTGGGAGGCTTTGGGAGAGTTGGAGGGGTCCCTCCACCATCCTGACAAGAAGCTGGAGCCAGGGCAGGGCTCAGTCCTGCCCTTTTGCTGGCTAAGCAAAGCCAGAAACAAAGATGCATGTTTTGTTTTTAAGCAGGGAAAAAAAAACTTCTGCCTTTAATCACAAGGCAGCAGAAGGAGCTGCCCGACCAGGTGCTCTGCTCCCTGGCTCTTCCCAGCGCAGGCTGAGGTCCTTTGGGACTGCGTTCACCCATCACACGTCGGGCACCTGAGGACTCCCCGCAGGTAGGTCTGGAGCCAGCCGCCCCAGACATGCTCCTCACCCAGCTGCGCACCCCCCTGCCAGGGGTGGTGCTCCCCCGTCAGCCCCCCGCGCT